GCAGCAGCAGCAGCAGTAGTACTAGGAGTGGTAGCACTCGTGTCACTACTGGCGCTAGTGCTATTCAACGTAATGCTTTCAGTTTCAAGCGGTGATACTGGAAGGAAGGGTCTCTGCATGAATCCGGCATTCAGAAGCTAGTGTCGTTCGCAAACCTCTCAAGTACCAAGTCTGAACCAAAGCCGAAGTCCATGCAGCCAGCATGATTATGCGTTGTCAGTGAAAGTATGAGGGGTGTGGCAGTGCCGTAGCATACTGTGGGAGTGCCTAGTGACTGCTAGTGGTAGCGGTGGTACTTTCGATGGTAGTAGTGGTGGTTGTGATGCTGGTGGTGGTGCTTGGTTGGTTGGGTTGGGTTGGGTTGGGGTGGCGTGGGTTGGGTTGGGTTGGGTTGTGTTGGGTTGGGTTGGGTGGTTGGTTGGTTGGTTGGTTGGTTGGTTGCTGATGATCGTGTGCTTGCCACAGCAACTGCAGAGTCACTGCCGGTAAGCGAAGGGGATCGAAGGGGTCAATGGTCCTTTGTAGATGATGTGCAGGGGCATTCCTCAGCGGGGTGCTGAAAACCAAGTGCCAGTCTTTCGATGGAGTGGGGCCTTTTGTTCCATAGGACATATAAAATGTGGGTACATCCTTGGCTCGATTCCTCAAACCTGCTCTTGAATGGCTTCAATTTTTAAAACATGCGTATCTCTTTACCAGAGAATTTGACTCACCGTCACATTGCTACTTGCTCACAGTTAGGACGGCTTCCTGCGGAATGAAGAATTCAGATCATCGTTGCGGATGATCTCCAACCAGAATCCTCGCTTGTATTCACGTGATTCCGGGTCGAGCCGTTCCCCTTTCATAGCCTCAGTCTCTGATGCGGGTCAAGTTTGGGGTAGAGGGTTCAAGTTTTGTGGACGAAGGACATGATGAAGGACTCATTCAGGTTCTAGTGGAAATTCAGATCACTTGATGATCACGTAATGCCTTGGCCTCGAAGGCTAAAGGCCGACTCAGAAAACGGAGATCGGAGCCTGCATGCGGAGCCGACATGGCTTCAGGCCTACTGCAGAGGGTTCACAAGAGCGGACAAGACCGAGGGTTCACATGCGCGACACTGTAACTCTGGGGCTTCCACACTCGAGCCCCGGACAGAGTTTTCCCGAGTCCCAGGTAGGGCTTTGAGCGTGGGAGGGCTTTGGGGCTCAGAAGCCTCCGATCCGGCTCCGGGCTACAGGCGGGCCAGACTCCGGCGTAGTTGACGAGGACGAGCTCGACGAGGTGGGGTTAGTGCTGACGGTTTAGGGAGCTTAGGAGTTCAGAAACTTTAGGATGCCCGGAGGATGGGCTCACACCCGGGGGCTGGAAGCACACTGACCAGAGACCCTCACATCCCTTTCTTCAGATCCTTTTCTTGGGGTCTCGTAGGGTTCCTCAACAAGGTCGAGTCCGGCTGGGATTTAGGGTCTCTGAGCTATCTGATGAAGGAACTTGCTTATCATTCGACGAATGTTCAGCATTTAAGTGTTTTACATTTTACAAAACCCTTTTCTCCTCTTTGCAAGCTCTGCAAGACAGGGTGCGCCAATGTTGGAACGCAATGCCTCCGTTCGCCATGTTGTGCAGTAGAAAAGTTCCTTAGAGGTTAGGCAGTTGAGATTTTGCCGGTGAGGACAGCAAAGACTACCTTACCTACTTTGCATGAGCGCTCTCAGGGTTTCTCCGGGAGTATGAAATTTCCATGAGTTTCTGAGGCTTTTGCTTGGAAGTTGTCCAGTGCATGAAAGCCTTGTTCAGGAACTGAGATTTTGTGCAGGTGATTCCAGTTCCTGCGGCATCTACCTGTGAGGACACCCAAACAAATCCTTACCTACTTTGTTCGAGTGGCTCGGTGCACACCGGGACGTGAACTTTCCAAGAGAGTCTGAGGTCGATCTTGCGGCCGTGCGTTGGCTTTCGTGTTGGGCAAAGCAGGTGCCTGGATAAATTTGTCATGCTTGCTTGCGTGGACCTGTGAGGACACCCAAACAAATCCTTACCTACTTTGTTCGAGTGGCTCGGTGCACACCGGGACGTGAACTTTCCAAGAGAGTCTGAGGTCGATCTCGCGGCCTTGCGTTGACTTTCGTGTTGTGCAAAATAGGTGCTTGAACTTGACACGCTTGCTCGGTTGGACCTGTGAGGACACCCAATTAAATCCTTACCTACTTTGTTCGAGTGGCTCGGTGCACACCGGGACGTGAACTTTCCAAGAAAGTCTGAGGTCGATCTTGCGGCCGTGCGGTGGCTTTCGTGTGGGGCAAAGCAGGTGCCTGGATAAACTTGACATGCTTGCTCGGGTGGACCTGTGAGGACACCCAAACAAATCCTTACCTACTTTGTTCGAGTGGCTCGGTGCACACCGGGACGTGAACTTTCCAAGAGAGTCTGAGGTCGATCTTGAGGCCGTGCGTTGGCTTTCGTGTTGTGCAAAATAGGTGCTTGAACTTGACACGTTTGCTCGGGTGGACCTATGCTGACACCCAAACAAATCCTTACCTACTTTGTTCGAGTGGCTCGGTGCACACCGGGACGTGAACTTTCTGAGAGAGTCTGATGTCGACGCAGAAGGCTTCGCATGGATCGGAGCATGTCACATATTCTGAAGTTTGTTGGTTGGCGTTGTAAGCATGGCTTGCCGGCAGGCAGGAGACAAAACGGTCATAAGCAGGACCTGTCAACAAGAACATCCAGACTGAATCTAGCCCTAGCCTCAAGTTAGGGCCGCAGAGTCTTTCCGGGAGATCTAGCTCGGGAAGTTCAGGGATATGGCAGGCTCTTCAGGGGATATCTCTAGGGTTTAAGTTTACGATGCAAAGCTGACTCCTGTGTGTGCCCCGGTGAGCCCAGCGGCCGCGCAGCGCTCGACGGCTCGAAAAGGTTTGGGAAGGCGTTGTCCTGTCCGACTTAGCTGCGCATCTGCCCGGCGCTCGGCTCCTCTACCCTAAAGTCAAAGGCCAACCTAGAATTCCTTACCGAACCTTAGAACTGAAACAGCCCTAGACCACAAGAAAAACACCACCCTTGACTGATGAAAGCCGTTCCGACGAAGACCCTTTCTTCGGGGTTTTGGGACGATGCTCCGGCGGACCCCGAAGTTCTCTAAATCCAAAGTCCCCAAAGCCTGAGGTCCTGAAGCCCCAA